GGAGTCTCCAAAATAGCGCAGCAGCCAAGTTCCTGAACCAGCATAACGCTGGATTTCTCCTGGTACCTTCTGTGTACGAACTGGGCAATGGCCCAGCTTAAGTAGTGTTGGGCCAGGACTGAAAACCCACGGCCTGCGTTCTGGACCGTGCAGATCGAAACTCCGATCCACGGTCCAGATCGCAGGCTTCGAAAACTGGTTCAGTCCTTGGCCTAAAACGGCCTGGACGGCCTGCCTGGGTCCCTACTGGACGTCCAGGCCCTGTCCAGGATTAATCTTCCTGGTACCTGGCTTCAAACCGGTCCTGTGCGGACGTACCCGGCCTCAACGTCGGCCTGGGTTCGAACAGGTCAAAATCTGTTCGAAAACAAAAGAAAAGGTCCAAACGTTTTTAGGAGCTCAGCCTCTGGGCCTGAATCTGGCCCTGGCCCTAGAAGCGTGTACCTGGCCACAAAACGGACAACAGTACACCCGTTAGAAAAACAGCAGCAAATAAATAAAATAAACACTATAAAAAAATCTAAAGCTGGCGTTTTTCTGATGCAGGCCCAAGTAAAAATGCCATAGGGCCTTCAGGTTGTGGTGACGCGGCCTGGGGGCCCTATTCCAGCCTCGGGTCCCGTGAGGGGCCCGTGTAAAGGCTTTCAGCATGTAACATGCCCCCCTCCTTATGAAGACGAGCCAGGGCGCGGGCGAAGCTGCCGATCCGATGGCGGAATGTAGCGAGGATGGCGAGGAGCTGGAGTGCTCTGCGTAGTCTTCCCTTTGCTAAGATAGCGTGAGAGAACGGCGGGGGCTGTGGCCTGCAGTTCCGAATGCGTCAGCCAACGGTCAGCCTTGTGGCTGCAGTAGSAAAAGTGAAGTAGAAACTCTTTTTCTTTGTTGCCATGGCGTCGGTCGGTGATGATGTAGCCGGCCTCCTGAAATCCGTCCATGGAAGGAGGGTCTTGCGTACGTCGACCGGGAAACTCGTCGGACTCCGCTGAAACAAAAGGAGCGAGTTTGGAACAGTGGAACACCGTGTGGACGGGCAAGTGAGGTGGCACCGCGATGTGGAATGAGGGCCCCTCGGGATCATCGGCAGCTGCAGAGAGAATGCGCCAAGGCCCCATCCACTTGGGAAGGAGCTTGCGAGAGATGTCTTGCTCAAGGCTGAACTCCGCTGCGGAGACCCAAACCAGATCGCCGGCGCGGAACGAGCAAGGAAGGCGATTGCGGTTGGCTTGACGGCTCATCCGTATTTGCGTCTTCGACATCTGATCCCGTGCCTTGACAAGAAGCTCTTGCATGCGACGAAGGAACGCAAGATGGTCGTCGCTCTCGGCTGTGCGCGGCAAAGTAGCGTCCAGCGGCGATGAGATGGGTGAACCATGCTCAAACTCGAATGGCGACATCCCAATAGCCGGGTGGATCGATGAGTTGTAAGCCAACTCAACGATTGGCAAGCGCTCAACCCAATCAACCTGGTCGGGACGGATGAGAGTGCGGAGAAGGACTTGAGCGGTCTGATGCGCCCTTTCCGTTTGACCATCGGTTTGCGGGTGGC